TCACGGGAAATCGTGGCGGTTTCGTTACTCTTACTGGAATAGTAGCCAGAGTTATGTTATGACTAAAGGTTGGAGTCGATTCGTTAAAGAGAAGCGTCTTGACGCCGGTGATGTCGTCTCGTTTCAACGTGGAGTTGGTGAAATTGGAAGAGATCGTCTTTACATTGACTGGCGTCGTCGCCCGGAGCTTCCAATTGACCACCACCACCACCATCACCACCACCCCATCGGCATCCGACCAAGCATCGTCATGCCCACCACCGCTTGGGGGTCATTAGTATGGCAACCACTCGGCGTAACAGCAACTAGATATCATCATCCAGCTACCGTAGCACCGCAGGACCACACACACATGTCGCGAATAAACAACAACAACAGCAGCAACGTTAACAGTATGTATGATAGGAATAGAGGGTATTGTCCTTACGGATATGGGAGTGTCGAATCATCATCGTCATCAGAAATGGTGTTTTTTGGGAGAGCCTCAAGATTAGGGGATGGTTTGGAGGGGAAGAACGAGATGCAGCCGGAGTATATGAGTAGTGGCGGTGGCGGTGGTGGTGGTGGTTCGATGGCGGTCCAAGAGAGTTACAGCGAAGAAGATACGCCGGTGAAGAGATCAAGGCTGAGGCTTTTTGGTGTAAATATGGAGATGGAGTGCCCAATAATGTCATCTTCTTCAGATGAATGTGACTTATTACTGTCTTCTTCTTCTAATTCAAACCCCAAAACCACCGCTCCTTCCAATTGACTTCCCTTGTTTACAGGTAAACTTCACATCTCTGAGGTTCCAAATATATTATGTATGTCCAATTTCAAACCAAATCAAACCAAAATAGATGACAATTTCCAATCAAATCACAACATTTTATATATATATATATATATATAATAGTTGGATTCTGTGAATGAATGAATGAACGAATGAAGTATGGGATCAATTAGTAGAGGCAGCTAAGTGTTGTTCTTGTCACTGCTTCCTTGGGCATGCCCTGCTCTTCTTTAACCCTACTTCTTAACTTTCCCTCTTGCTTATTTGCATGCAATGCCACGATGTTCGACGGATAGCATAACATCTTAAGTCCACTGTTACTAGATAGTGTCTGTTTTAGTTCATTACGTATCACGGTCAGTTTTATGGTTTAACATCCTTATAAAAAATTGTTCGATTTTTGGCTGTTGAACTAAAAAAACGGTTGGGTTTTTGGGACTATGTTCATTATTGTTGCATTAAAATTATTAAGCTATGAAGTTATATGTTTCTTGGGAGGAAATATTGAATTTCTGTTTGAATTATTTTGTTGTTTGTATCTGGAAATTTGCAAGTTGGGATTTGATTTGGCATTGATTATTATGTATGCATAATGGCTGTGTTGTATATAGTTGGGGATTCATTAATTCCTTCCGTTCTTATGTTCATTATGGTGGGAATTAATTATTAGATTTGGTAGCTTTCTTCATCATCATCATCATCAATGGCTTTTCTATGGTACTGTACTAATCTAGCTAATTGCCTTTTAGGTTTCCTTTTGTTTCAAAGTAACGATTTTTAAATATTCGTACACGATCAAATAAATTACGTTCAATTTACGCCTTATATATGCGTAAATACGACTATTCAATACTATATACTATGAACTTGTAAATTTAAATTTATATCCAAAAAAATTATAATCGACTAACTATTATAACTTATGAGAGGAGTCATCAGTGGTCGCTTGAAGCAACTCTCAGAGGCAGTGTAACAATGGTTGTCGTTGAGCTGAAATGTATAAGTGGTCGCTTGAAGCAACTCTCAGAGGCAGTGTAACAATGGTTGTCGTTGAGCTGAAATGTATAAGGGTATTTTGGTCATTTTTATATATGATGAAATTTTGGCATATCAACTAAAACATTCGATCTAATCTATACATCTTTTTTTTATAATGGAATTTGATTCTTCACTAGGGCAATAACATTCCTTCTTATCATTAAATTATTATTATTTTTTTTTCCCCTTTTGGTTTGAAGGGGGGGACATTTTGATTACTTGTTGATTTCTCCATGGTTTGGAACAAGTAGTGTGATAATATAAAGTGGGGTGTGACAAAATATCATAATTAATGCAAGGACGATATTATTCACAATCACATCTCAAAATTCACCTTTAATCGATACTTCATTTACTTACCTTAATCCCCTAAAGATTCTTATTCCACCCTACAAAATTCAACTATTAGAAGCAAAAAAAAAAACCTAAAGTTAGCCTGAGGCAGCTGTGGGTGTGGCGGCGGTGGCTGTGGGTGAGGCTGCAATGCCACTTTGAGAGTGATATGGTTAGGCAAAGGTTTATAGGAAGCAAGAAGAGAGAGAGATAACGTGTGTCCCAAAGAGACCATATCTCTGTCAGCTTTGAGGGAAAAATCATTGATTTTGAAAGAGACCGAAGAAACCCCAAAACAAAAACCACACACTTTCCAAACAAAAAAATGGATTTAAGGCCAATTGTTGTGTATTTATTAATGGAGTTTATACCCAAAATTGTTGTAGCAGCTTTTGTGGACTTTGGAGGAGCTTACCATGTGACACCCAAATCATTGGTTTTCCATTCACAAACACAATTTCATTTCTTCTTCTTCCCTCTTCCTTTATGCAAAACTCGCTTTCTTTTCCATCTTATAATCATAATTATTTTCTCGATAAATTTTAGCCATTCTTTTGTTTTGTAAAGATAGAAGTTGGGCGGAGAGATTTGAACTTGTGACACGCATTTTATCGTAAAAAGAGATTGTGTCGTGGTGCAAGTGGGGCAAAATGATGCCCTACAATTTCTTTTAAGGAAAAATACAGCGGTTTCAAGCAAAAAAAATATTGTCTGTTTTGATATGTTACATATCGTCATTTTTTATGGTTTTAAAACACGTGTATGTTAAGAAGAGGTTTCTATGCTATGATAAGAAATTGTTTGTTTTTGTCTCTGACCTACGTGGGATCTCGCAACGTACAGGTGAAAGGGAAAGGGAAAGGGAAAGGTGAGAAGATAAAATAAAAATTGAAATTAGGGTTAGAGACTTTTGAATAATTTATTTAGAATGGATTTACCCTTAAGAGTGAAAGATAAAATTAAAATTTTAAATTACATTAGAGATAAAATAAATTGAAATTAGAAATAAATAAAGATACTATACATGTAATTAGAATATAAATTTAAAAAAATTAAATTTTTTTGTAATCCAATAGCTTATTATTTAATTTTAATTTTAATTTTAATTTAACGGGGATTAACATGTTATCCAGGTATTAAAAAAAACTCGATAAACTGAAAAATTCAATAAACATAATCCAACCTATATCGTTTAAGTTGGATTATAAATTTATAACAGTCTTAAATTCCAATAAATGAAGATTTTATAAATTAAACCAAACCAACTTAAATTTATTGCTGTTAATTTTAAAATATTATTAATATACACATATTTATTTTATTTTATAACTCAATTTTATTATTGATTCTACGACTTTTCTTAAAAATAATTTTAAACTATCTTTTAAAATATATATTAAATTTTTTTGGCAAATTTTACTTTTATTAAAAGTAAAAATTTGAATAAATGATTAGAATATTTATGGTTGGGTTAGGTTCATCTTTTAATAAAAATGGTTTGAGTCCAAAAGTTTAGGATCGGAACAGTTTAGTTAGGTTTAAAAAAATATCTCAACTCAACTCAACACCGACCTAAATACCCCTAATCATGTTATGTCGAAATATGGCGTCTCAACTGAGTTGACATTTGAAGGGGAAGCAAATTAGAAAGCGAAAATGCCAATGTTGTACAAAACGTAGGCAGCAGTGATGCAACAGATATGTATTTATTGACCACAAAACTCGATAAATGAATAACAAACAAACCACAGAAAAAAAGAAGATCAAATTAAGATATATGTCAGCGGTTTGTTATTGATTTATTGATTTGTGTGATCATTAAATAACTTTCTGCTGCACATTGCTTTATTTCTTTCTTTGATTCTGTCCGCGTATTAAGATAAACCAACCACGAGCTTTCACAATAGTATGATATTATTAATATTAATCTCGAGAAAAGAAGAAAAAGGCGGTGGGGGACTGGGTAGCGTAGGCAGGCAGGTAGGGGGAGGGGGCTTGGCTGGAGCTTTGTTTTGAGGCAGAGCATTGAACAATGACAGTGCAAAGCGTTGAATATATGTATGTATATATACAAAAGGTTGGGTGGAAAGTGACCCTTCATGTTCCTCCCATATCCATCAGGGAAGAGAGAAAAAGAAACCCTAATTCCCTGAAAACCCCATTACTTTTTGGATCACCTCCCTCCTTCTCCTTCTCGTTGTTGAATGGAATAGGGTTTGGACCATTTTTTAATCCTATTTGGTCCATTCACTTTTCCCTACTTTTCAATCTCCATACTTTACTTTACTCTTTTAAGCTTTTGTTGTTTAATTTCTTCATCCCTTTCTCCATATTTCTGCTTCTTTCTTACACCCTTCCCAACACAACACTACCATTCTTACTTATCTTAATGCATGCCCATCAACCCTTCTCATCTACTTATTTATATGTTAATGCTAAGTAGAGTAGAGGGTTAATAAATGTATTATAGTGAAACAAAAACTTTGACTTTCACCAAAGTCAAAAGCTGAGATTAGGGTTTTTGAAGAAAAAAAATTGTGTTAAAACTGCCATATATTGCTATATATCTCCTCGGTTGAGGGATGTACGCCGCACGAGTGCTAGAGGACGTGAACAACCGATCTTCCTTCACTTGTTGTTGCTTGTCGTTTACTTGACACTATCGAGTTAATCTTGGGTTTTTTTTTAACTAGTTTCCGTGAGCCACATATCCCGTTATTTTGTGTGGAGAATGTTGCTATATAAGCTTGGCTGATACGATCAAAACAAAGGAACTCGATTGGAAATAAAATGGGTTTATAAATTAGAAATACTAAGACTTTACCCAACAAAATTATTACATAATTTTGATAATACTAAATTGTGATTATTTGAAAAGAAATGTGGCAAGTCCTCTGAGACAGAACTAGCCCAGTAGCCAATAGGGCCTCCCATCCCTTAACTTGTAGGTCATGAAAGCCCAGTTGGGTCCCAAAAAGGGTCCAAATGGAGACCCAAAGAGGAGATCAAAGGAACAGCCCTAGCCTCGGTGATCCTAACCCTCACAACTTCCCCACAAACCACTCCACTTTTGATCCTATGCAGCCGCTTATACCCAACGCTACTCTCCTCCACAATCCTCTTCCCATCCAAGTAAATCTCATGCCGTTTGATCCTCTGACCAAGCCCTATGGCCTCTTGGATCCTCACCACATTGAATCTCAGCCCTTGCTTCTGCTGACTTCTGATCTCAATCCAATGGTCACCACCAGCATCAGCTCCCCTGGGTGCCCAATAAGTCCACAAATGGTCATTGTCCAACACATTTTCAGGCCCAAACGCACTTTCTTTGCCACCCCTTTGGCTACTGGCTCTTAAGGAGCAATTTTGAGCCAAATTTGAGGAGAAAATTGTGTGTATGGCAGCTTTGAATTGGGTGAGAGTGTGGGCATCTTCTTGGGCAATTAGACCTGTGGAGTTGGGCGGGACATTGAAGAGAAGAACACAATTTCTTCCCACTGAGTTGTAGTAGATTTCCAGGAGCGTTTTTAAGCTCTTTGGGGACTCTGATTTGTGCCAAAACCACCCATTTCTTATGGATACATCACATTCTGGGGGTACCCAATGCGTCCCTTCTGGGTCTCCTTCGTTTAGGTACCTGCAATTTAAGGAGTCCGACATTGGCTAATTAAAAGGAAGACCATGAGTTTATAAGTAGGAATACCATCTTCATTGTTACGAGACCTTTTAGAGAAACAAAAGCAAAGACATGAGAGCTTATATATTCAAAGTGGACAATATCATACTATTATGGACAGTCGTTCCTAGAATGGTATTAGAGTTATGCCCTTAACTTAGCTACGTCAATAGAATCCTCAAATGCTGAATAAAGAAGTTGTGAGTCCAGAAAATGTAGTTAAAGGTGACTCAAGTGTCGAACAAATGGTGCACTTTGTTCAAGAGCTCTAGAGAAGAAGTCGAGCCTCAATTAAGGAGAAGACTGTTCGAGGGCTCCATAGACCTCAAGGGAGGCTCTATGATGTACTTTGTTGGAAGGGAGGATTGTGGGGAGAGAACTCCCCCTAGGTTTATAAGTAAGAATACTCTTCATTAGTATAAACCTTTGGGTTGATGAACCTTTGGGTAACCAATACCAAAACCACGAGAACTTATGTTTAAAGTGGACAATATCATACCATACCATTGTAGAGAGACGTTGTTTCTAACCAGAGACACTTACTGGGTAATGCCTAACAAACACACGACAGCTTGATCAAAGTGAACAATATTATACCATTGTGGAGAGTCATGGTTCATACCAAGAGATACTTACTGGGTAATGCCTTCTGCTCCGATTGCCAGCGAACTACGATTGATGGTTGACCAGCACGGTGTTCCAGCGAAGCCGTTCTCATCTCCGACCCATCGAATATCGGGTCCGGCATCCGAAAATATGTTGATGGAGCTCTGCAACTCCTTCACCATTGCAAACCAATCGGAGAAGTAATATGACATGTTTGGAGCATTCTTACCCTTTGCTCCATCAAACCAAATCTCCCTCACATTCCCATAGCTAAAATAGATCCAAATCCAAATTGTTAATTAAAAAAGAATTGAAAGCATAGAGATTTATCAGAAATTAAATTAAGTAACTCACTTGTTGAGAAGCTCTTGTAATTGAGCCAAGTAATACTCATTATACGCCAATTCATGGCTATATCTCCGATCATGCCGATCCCACGGCGATAAATACACCCCAACGTCGATACCACGGGGGGCAGCGGCGTCGACGAACTCCTTAACGACGTCGCCGTGGCCATTCTTCCAAGGGCTGCGGGAGACAGAGTGGGTGGTGTATTTGGAAGGCCAGAGGCAGAAGCCGTCGTGGTGCTTAGCAGTGAGAATCATGAGAGAAATGTTAGCGGCAGCGGCGGTGGCTGCCCACTGTGCTGCGTCGAGGGCTGTGGGGTTGAAGACGGTGGGAGACTCGCGGCCGGTGCCCCACTCGGAATCGGTGAAAGTGTTGGGCCCAAAGTGGAGGAACATAATCACTTCTCTCTGTTGCCATTTCAATTGGGAGAAAGAAGGGAGTGGGAGGATTGGCAATGGCGGCGGCGTTGAGACCCCGAGCTTTGCAGAACAGAAATGGAGAAAATGGAGCAATGTGAGGGTGAAGATGAAGGAAAAACGGTGACCCATTTCTGCCATGGATGGATTTATAAAGCTCAATTGTGTTTTCTTGAAACAGAGGATTGTGAGAGGTCAGACCATAATGTGCCGCAACAAATAATTTTTTTTTGGATGGTTTAGTAATATGAATCCTATAGTTAAGCGTGCTCTACTGGCAGCAATTCAAATAATATTAGACGGTTAATACCATATCATTATTACAAATTTATGTTGAATTAAAAATATTTTCAAAATATATATAACCAAAGAAAAAATAAAAAAAATTAGAAGTAAATAGAGTATTTATAAATTTATTTTTTAAAAAATAAGTGGTTTATTTAAAAGATTTAAAAAGTCAAAGTTATTGGAGTTTGGAGCCGTAGTCAGTTACGAGCTTAGATTTTATTTATTTATTATTATTATTATTATATTTTCCTGAAAATAACCACAACCTAATCTTATTTAAAATCAAATAACAAAAATAGTAAACTTATAAATTATTATTATTTTAATATTAATTTACATAAAACTCTTTTTTTTTCTTTTTCTTCTTATTAATATATAATTCATCATGTGTTTCACAAAAGCATATATAATTTAAATTTCGAACAATATTTAATTCATCATGTGCCACAAAATATTATTTTTATGATCTTTTTAGTGGAATGAAAAAAATTATTCAATACTATTATTAATATATTGTAAATCTTTATTCAAACACGAATTTCAAGTTTTTTTTTTTATTAATAATTAAGTATGAAGAATCCTAGAAAAAAGAAAAAAGGAACATGGGAGGGAAAGAGTACTAACCGACGATCTTTGACAGTGAGATATCCACGACGTTGCATATCGAATTTTCGATGAGATAACAAGAACCAGACGAAATGCAGTACTTTTATTGGACCAACATGTGCCATTTGATAGTCTAACGTCTTCAAGATCACTCAACTTGATATCATATATTAAGAAACCCGGCCCCAATGTTGTTCATCATGTTTTGGATATCTATACTTTTATAACAATTCAAACTCACTGCGAGCAGATATTGTCTTCTTTGGATTTTCCTTCAAGGTTTTATAACGAGTTTGCTGAATGTTTCATTATTCTCTCCAACCGATGTGGGATCTCACAATCCACCATCTTTAAGCCCAGCGTCGTCGCTAGCACATGTTCTCTTCTCTAATTGATGTGGAATCTCACAATTTTATAACATTAAACGATTTTTTCCTCTACAAAACATGTCATATGGAATGCTGCTATCGGATATTGTTCCAAGTAATTACCTTGTTGGGTGGAGTGGGGTTTATATTCGCACCCGGTTTGGTTTCAATCAAAAGTGTATAATATACTTCTTTGCCAATGAGCTTACATCAAAATCTAAACCTAAATCAAATATGCTGTCCTTTACACGTAAGTGGTTGGATATTAAATTCATATATGATACCCAACAAGTGGACACATAGAAAACAACAATACACATTAATATTCTCCTCGTCTCTGCTGTAGTTTACTGCTTTCCATGGCTTCTTCTCTTTCTCCAAGATCGATCGAGGCTTCTAAACTCGACGTTGTAAATCTTAATTCAATGTTTCAAATAAATAAATGAACTAACGGTTCACAGTCGGTGATCGAAGTCCTCGAAAAGTAATAGCGATGATACGGGTAAGAATATCCACACCATTGAAGGATTTAACATGTTGGTTGAATTGACGAAATGATATTTTGATATGAGGTTAGATTTCGCCGCCTTTATTTATTTTAATTAATATAATAGTCATGTCAAATTATCACTCTTTGGACAGCTTTGTAAACGTCAAAACACACTGCTAGTAGATATTGTCCACTTTAACTCATTACGTATTGCCGCTAGCTTCACGGTTTTAAAATATATTTGTTAGGAAGAAGTTTCCACACCTTTCTAAGGGATGTTTCGTTCCCAACTCCAATCGATGTGGGATCTCTCTACTCTCTTGGGGGCCAACGTCCTCATTGACACACCACTCGATGTATGACCTTAATACCATTTGTATCAGTCCAAGCACACTGCTGGTAGATATTATCCGCTTTAACTCATTACGTATCGCTGTTAGCTTCACAGTTTTAAAACACATCTATTAGAGAGAAGTTTCCAGAAATGTTTCATTTCCCTCTCCAATTGAGGTGGGATTTCACAGTATATCATAATCAAGATAAACAATTGGATAACCTTGAGAGTGAACACAATCCAATGATAATTAACGTGATATATTCGATTAAGAGATAAAAGGTTCGGGACATAAAATAGAAAGACAAAGAGATATTGGTTGTGGTGGGGTGTTCCAAATTTAATTATTATCATAAAGTAGAAGAACCAAAAAAAGATGATATTTGGAATATATATATTATTGGTTACTCTGAGCATCAAAGTTCACATCTTTTACTGAATAAAAGCTTACCCTTTTCCCTAAACCCAATCCACATCACAATATAGAGACACCCCTTTTCATCAATTGACCAAAAAACTTCACAAAAAGCATAACTTTTTCCCATTCATTTTGTTCCATTTTGATTCCATTCTTCTCAAGGTTTTACTAAGTTAATTAAACACAAAAGCAATGAACAAACTTTGGGATTTGGATTTGATTAATAACTTTGTAGAGTTCATCTCTCCTAAGAAGGGAAAAAGTGGTTTTTGGATTAAGCATTAAGGAAGCGATTGTGTTCTAAACAGGATGCCTCTGACACATAGGAATATCTTCAAAGGCTGGGGACTGTTTTCAGTTTTTGTGCTTTGTTTCTCTCTCTCTCTCTCTCTCTCTCTCTCCCTCCCTCCCTCTCTCTCTCTCTCTCTTTCTCTTATATAAACAAGTTTATGGCTACCGTACTCCATAGAGCTACGTTTGGTTCTGTCGTTTACTCGTATTTCCTACGTTGTTTCGGAAATCTCGATAATCATCATCATCGTCGTCATCAAAATCATCACAACAGCTTCAATCCTATCCTCTTCAACATGCCAAAGCCCAAACCCCTTTCCTTGCAGGTAATTCCTCTCTTTTTCAGGAGAAAGGTTGATAAAGTTTGTTTTTTTATGCTCAAAAGTGAAAAAAAATCGATCTTTTATGATGGGGATGTGAAAATTTCAAATTTTTACATGTTTCTTGGCTTTTTTGTGTTGAATTTTCATGTGGGTTTGCTTTGAAATTTTGAAAAAACCCAATTTTAAAGGTGTAATTCTTGTTTTTAGTTGTTTTGTTTAAAGAGGAGAGGGAGATGAAGAAAGGGTTATTGGATGTGAGAATCTTGTAGATGTGAAAACCCCTTATGGAAGGGTTCTTTCTCTTTTGTTCTTCTTTTTTCTCAGATCAGCAAAAGGAACAAAGGTATCATAATAATAATAATATCATCACAGAATCTATATCTATCTATTTGCTTATGGTTTGTGCTTTTACAGACTGTTGAGCTAAAAGTCAGGATGTGTTGCAGTGGCTGTGAACGGGTCGTTAAAGATGCGATCTACAAACTTAGAGGTACATAAAAGAACCGAAACAAAAGAAGGGTTGTTTTTAGTTACGAAAAAACATGATTAGGGTTGTCTTGCTTTGTGTAGGAGTTGATTCAGTTGAGGTGAACTTGGAGCTGGAGAAGGTGACGGTGATTGGATATGTCGATCGAAACAAGGTGTTGAAGGCGGTTCGAAGGGCTGGGAAGAGGGCAGAGTTTTGGCCGTACCCAGAGCCACCGTTATACTTCACGTCTGCTGCTGATTACTTTAAAGATACAACTCGTGAGTTCAAAGAGAGCTATAACTATTACAGGCATGGCTATAATATCGGAGAGAAGCACGGAACGATTCCGATATCTCATCGAGGCGACGACAAAGTGAGCAACATGTTCAATGATGACAATGTCAATGCTTGTAATGTCATGTAAATATATGATGATATATGAACGTGAGCCCTAGCTTTTAAGTGTATCTTGGAATTTTAAGGGTTGATGATTTCATATGTTGTTTCTAAGTCATCAGTAAAGTGTGTAAAATGCAGTTTAATTGTTCCTTTCTTTTTCCTTGTATTTGTATGCATGAGTTTATATTATTATAACCACGTTTATGTTACCAAATCGAGCTTCTATACATATTTGTACCAAGGCAAAAATATATATACTAGTGCGGATTATTAGGGGTAACGAGGATAAGACGACATGCGTGAGACTGGAGCGTTAGAGTTTTTAGTAATGCTGATCTAACCAATGTCTCGTATTGCGCAAAAATGAATGAAGAATTTCGTCCCTATACATCGTGAATGGGAGAAGGTTTCTCGTAACCAATACTGTTTGAGATTATAAAATTAAAGAGAAAAGGTAAAAGGAACCCTATCATCTTCCAAATCCCGAGGCAGTGTCTACCGAAATTTGGGAATTGGGATGAACTTTTGTTGAATATGATGGAGTTATGAGTGTATACTCACCAAGTCTTGCCAAGGCCTAATGGGACATAATGGGGCCTCGGAAAATGATGAATTTTTAATATATTTTAATTCCCACTCCTTTATTCGAATTTATAATGTTGTTAATGAAAAACTTTGGATTAATTTTTAATTTCCTTGCACCTTTAACAAATTATTGATAGGTTTCTTTCATGTATATGTCCATTTTGGTTTTATTGTTCTTCAATCCCTTCTGTATGTTTGTATTGTGGCAGCAAAGTTCAATTTATTTGTAGAAGTTTTTTGTGTGGATTTCGAATGAATTTTAAGATACGTGGAGGTGGAAGATTTTAAATCTTTAATCTCTTGCCCGTTGCTAGTAGATATTAAAACTACTAGACAGATATTTCTACATTTTTATAAGAAATGATTCATTTCTCTCTCAAACTGATATGTAATTTCACAATCCACTCCTTAGAAGGTCTAACGTTCTCATTGGCACACCTCCTGGTGTCTAGCTTTGATACCATTTATTACAGTCCAAGCCCACCACTAGCAAGTATTGTCCACTTTAGCCCATTGCATATCATTGTTAGTCTTACGATTACAAAACATGTCTCTACTGGGGAAACGTTTTCACACCCTATAAAAAATGCTTCGTTCCCCTTTTCAACCGACGTGTGATCTCACAAGTTGTAATCTCACTCAACTTATTTACTGATTTATTGTAAAATTTAGCATTAGAACACAATATCCTTCACAAATATATGTTTAATCAAGAAGCTAAAACATGTCGGAAAAGACGAGAATAAAACCTGTTTTCACTATGTTTGTTGTTTTGAAGACTATATAGCTGGAAAGTACCCAATAGTGACATTTGATTCCACCCTTTGCGATCCTCTCGTTGAATTCCACTCATGAAAGAACTCCAGGGCAAGTCTTAAAACAGTTCCAAGTCCAAGCACTACAATAACTCCTGTTCTTCCAGGTTTCATAACCATAAATAAATACATAACATGAAACTCGATAGCTCGAACAATGAAAGTTATAAACGTACCGATGATGAGATTTACAGGTAACGCCGAAATGCCGAGGGTGATGGATACAAGAATGTCCAGTAGCAGACCTCCGATGAGGATGGCAAAAGCTAGCCAAATTGGACTGAAGTAGCTCTGCTGCATAAATAACACTCAAGGTTGATGTTCTTAACAACTTATTAAACAGGCAGGAAAAGTGAGATTCTTACCCTTTCAGGTTCTTGGGTTCTGTAGGTTGGATCAATCCTCCAAATCCAGTAGTTGGTCTGTGTTTTTCGAATTCAAGAAATAATTGAAACTCGGGTTAGTTCCAATATGATATCCTTCCATCATGATCATAAGTTCAATGCTAAATATATAGTTTTAAGCTGCGATTCTCGTGAATAAATAGTTTGAATTTATAGGTACTTATCTGTCAATGAAAACGGAACCTTAAGAATTTTCAAAGGCATGTAATTAGTTTAGAAGTTCGGTTTATTTGTATGTAGTTTCGAGGTTACTTTCATGATCAAATGTAATAGGATCGAAGAACAGTTGAGGTACACACAAGTTGACCCCAACATTCATGGAAGCAAGAAAATGTAGCAAATGCAAAACTAAGACACCGAATCAAAAGCATTGCACCAAAAGCTACAGAGTACCTACAGCATGATGTGATTGTGGAGGCGATACATTCGCTGCTACAACCCTGAAGAAGTTAGCAAAATAACATTTCAAAGTGGCTCCAAAACAATATGATTCTGTCAAGTCAATGAAGGTCGACCTCGAAACGACTAACTTACTGGCAAATCTCACATCGGTTTGATCCTTTACTACGAAACCAAGTATCTATGCAAGTCCGATGAGCTTTTGCAAGACCACCTCGACAATGACATCCAAGTTCTATCAAGACTTCTTCCTTTTCTTGCTGACAAATTCTGAATAATAGTATTCGGGTTTAATGGCCACAACATCCTTTACAACACATTAACCAGATAAATGAAGCCAATTGTTATTGTGGACATACTCCACTATAATGCATGGAAAGATAACAGCATTTGGTAGAATGTTATTTATAATGTACAACATAGGCCAGATCTCCGAAAAGGAAAACCAATAGCATTATGAAATCATTAGTGCTATTGAAATCATTAGTGCACTAATGAGCGGTGGAGACTTGAACTGTGAGATCCCACATTAGTTGAGACTTGAACATAGGCCAGATCATTAGTGTACTTATAAGGGTGTGAAAACCTCTCCCTAGCAGATGCGTTTCAAAATCTTGAGGGAAAGCTTAAAAGAGAAAACTCAAAGAAGAGAATATCTGCTAGCGGTGGGCTTCGGTTGTTACAAATGGTATCAGAGCCAGACACCGAGCGGTTCGCTAGTGAGGACGCTGATCCCTCAAGGGGGTGGATTGTGAGATTGCACATCGGTCGGAAAGGGAAACGAACCATTCCTTACAAGGATGTGGAAACCTCTCCCTAGTAGACGTGTTTCAAAACCTTGAGGGGAAGCCCGAAAGGAAAAGCCCAAAGAGGACAGTATCTACTAGCAGTGAGCTTGGGTTGTTACAAATGGTATTAGAGTCAGACATCGAGAGGTTTGCTAGCAAGGACGTTGGACCCCTAAGGGGGGATACGCATTTTAAAACCTCAAGGGAAAGCTCCAAAGAGGATAATATCTGCTAGCGGTGGGCTTGGATTATTACACGAACCTCAAACCTTAAGGTTAAAGTCAGAGTAAATGACTTAATTGTTAAGCTATGCTCATGTTAACGATTTTAATCTTATAGAATAGGCTAAAACATCATTTAGGGAGTATCTACATGTTCTATGGCTGACAAGCAATGAGCAAACAACATAAACAACAACAGTTTAAGGAAGAAAGGAGGAGGAACCAACTAAAAGTGATGCCAAAATGGACCAGAACCAGCAGAAATGAACAGAACAGTTTTCAGGGAAGAGTAGCAATTCAAAAGTACCTGCACTGCTCATCAGAGCTAGAAGTTGTAGACAAGAGTTCCTTCATGGGGGAAACTGCACAAGGCAATAATTCCTCTCGAGGAACCTCAGAGATTGATTTAAGTTCCCCATTAGACACAACAATTGTCAATGGTGTATGATCATCGACATCACTGGTAGAGGGATCTGCTGCTGACGGCAGCTCAACCCTCTGCTTCTCAAGGTCCGCTCCATTGTTCTTATCGGCGCTGGTGTTGCCTTTTAAATCATTTAAATGGCAATCCAACATATTGAAAGTCCACAAACTTGAATAAACTCAACCAAAATCCTTGAAAAATTGCATTATATGTCACAAATGAACTTAAAAATTCACTCCAGACAAAAGCGAAAATCACGAACGAGCCTCGATTCACAAAACCCTATTTCAGAAATCCAAGCCCACCAAACAAATTAAAGCGAAACCTCCCCTAACCAAACTTCAATCAGTCCAAACGACTGAGCCACAAAAGGCTACTGAAACGATTGCATTACACACAGGAATCAAGAACAAAATCACTAACGAGGTTACAGCCGCAAAGAGTAGCAAATTCGAGAAGAAAATCGAATAGAATCAAAAGGGGTCGTACCTGGGGAGACTCGGATTTGACGGGTTGAAGATTCTTTACTTGAAGCAGTAGAGAGAAAAGAACAGAGAAATTTTCAATTAAAGCAAAAACGGGTTCTGAAATTGATTAGTTTTGTGAGCATATGAAACGGATTTGACGCGGAATGAACTGAAAAACAAACAACGAAACAAACCCAGTTTTTATTTACGGGAAAAAAAAAACGTAACTAAGAGAAGCGTACAAGGATCCACGTTATTTGTTGGCCTTCAACGAACACAAGGATATTGTTTTCGCAATTCAGGCGCCAAAATGCACTCCCACATCCAAAGAGGCCCGACCCCTTTAATTGATTTTCCTCAACAAACAAAAATAAAAAAAGACAAATGAGAACTTTCTTGAATTATTCTCACGAAAATTGGGATTGAAATTCTTATTCTTCCACTCATAAAATTAAAATTTTATGCAGTTCAGTGTTCTTAGAAAATAGCCCACTTCATCATTAAATTTGTGAGTGGATTGATACGAAAAAGGTCAAAAAGAAATTTCAAATCAGAAATTGACCCATAAATGAGAACAGAATCAAAGGGGGTGGGCTTTGAAATTCTCTCTATCTCTTGTCAAATTATATAATATCTTTTGATAGACAAAGGTCAAATAGTTTCAACTCTGAAGAACACAATATGTTAATTAACTTCTCTATATTTATAGTGTTATATTCATAATTTGACGGGTAGATAATATATTATAATGTTTGATTTCGATCAACGATAGGAACTTTTAAAACTAAAGCCTAATTTCCTTCTCGATGTTTTTTTTTTCACCTCTCCGTCGAAAAAAAAGGTCAAATTACACAATCCCATATCATGATTTCATCTTCTTATGGTTGATCTTGTAAGTTCTTAATCATATGATCTTGAGTAGCCTTGAGTAGTGTTTGTTGTCGTTGTAATTCCCTCCACTACCACTACTTTTGAAGTGGAGGTCTCCATCTCTTTGTTCTTCCCCCATAGTAGAATGTAGAGTCCAATTATCACACTCACCGAACCCAACAAGCTGTTACGTCAAATTACAACGTTTCTTTATTTAGAAATGGAATTGACGACAAGGACTCTTTTTGTGTGTTGAAAAAATTTTAAAACGCCTTTTTTATTACCTTCCGAGATAGAGTGGTCGGTGCATTATGGGGATGTCGAACATGGCCGACATTATTTGAACTAATGGGCTGAACGCCGCCGTGAACACTGGTCCTCTCTTCTTCACACACCATGACATTCCCACGAAACACATGCCCGATCCGATCATTCCCTGTAAAAAAAATATTATTTTGTTGCAAATTTAGAGATTTTAACCTATAAATTCCAAGAAAAATGGGTTTTGTGAGACTTACTGTGTACAGAACAGTGAGAATCTGAATCTTTCCGGTGAGCGCCCAAGCGGAGGACTTCGCGCCGGTGGAGAGGCTCAACACGGCGGATTGGATGGCGCCGAAGCCGGACATGATGGCGGTGCTTGAATACTGATACGGATATCTCTTCCCGATGTTCGATTGTAACAGAAACCACGAAGACCAGAGCAGAGTTCCGGCGACCAACGCTATGCAGCCTACTGTCCAGCTCTCCCTTGTCTTCTTCAGCTTTACATCGCCGCCGTGTGAGGCGGCGATGGCGGCAATGGAGTATGAATCGTTCAGCAATGCTGGACCTTTGTACACCGTCAACAACACCGCACCGGAGATACACACCACCGTGCCGATTATCTTCGCTCTCCCACTGCTGCATTTCAACTTCACTGTCTCTAACCTGGGCGGCGAAAGATCATAAATTGTTCAACTGGGTTTGTTCGAAATCCGAAATTATGCATATATAGTTTACAAACTTGAGATATAATTACCCAAATGGGAGAGCGAGGAGAAAAGTAACCACAGGGACTAAGTTAACAAACGCACAAGCAAAAGTGGCAGAGGTATGTTGGATACCCAGAAGAAAGCAGTATTGGGTGAGTGAAGCCCTACAAGAAAACAGTGATGAACAAATCAAAACCCATAAATTAAATTTTAAAAAGAGGGAGAATCAAGGTTTGAACGGACCCAACAATGGCGCTGAAGAACAAGTAACAGAGGATACGAACAGAGATATTGGCTCTGCCATCTCTGCAAAAAACAGAGCAAAGAATTTCATAAGCCAAAGACGAAGAAGAAGAAGAGGAAGAAAAGAGTTGAAAATTGTTGATTACTTCTCGCAAAAGTAAGCAATTGGAGCTAAGGAAATGGAAGCGACTGAGAGACGATAAGTGATGAGAACCAAATGGTTCATTCCATGATCAAGAACTGCCTCGAGCAGAATATTCACAATGGCGAAAGCCAAATCTATGGCAACCATCGCCATCAATGGCTTGCAATCTTCTAAACGCTTCATTCTGAACAAACTCGATCGGCTCTTCAAAAGTTCTACTTTTTGTTGTTGATCTGTTCAGGAAACTGATTGGAAGAAGAAAAAAGCTGTGTGTTTTAATCTTTGATTCTCCTGTTCTTGGTTTGCTGTTCTGTTCTTGTTTGTAAGAGAGAGAGGTGAGTGAGGGTGAAAATAAATAGAGTGAGACCCCAAAAGAAGGGGTCTGATCAGCCTCTGGAATAAGTGGGCACAAAGCAAGATTAAAATTCCTTTAGATCACATCAATGGCTTTAAGCTACCCCATCTTTTTTTTTTTTTTTTAATCATTAAAAAAACATTTTTATTATTCAATTTATTCTCTCTTCCTTCTTGGAAAATTATTTAAGAAGACTCTCTAAATATGGGTAACAGTTATTAATAGCATATGAAAAAGAAACGAAAAAAAAAAACATTTTAACCGAAACCAAAACCATAACCATTAGTTATTGGGTTGGGTTAGATTGGATTAAATTTTTTAAAAAATAAAAGATTTGGTTCATCGCCTAGTTGGGATTTTTCAACCATCTTGAAATAGGGGTCCGAACCCAACCCAAAATTTGGGGGTTTAATTAGCAAGTTGAGATTTTTGGTCCATTTCGAAATGGGTTCCAAACCTAACCCTAAAATTTGGTTCAACTTGCGAGTTGAGATTTTTCGACCATTTTCGAAATAGAGTTTCCAACCCAACCCTAAAATTTGGTTCAATTTGTGAGTTGGGATTTTTCGACCACTCCAAAATAGGGTTCCCAACCCAACCTTACACTAATTCTAAGATTGTTAAGGAGAATAAAAATATTTGACGTTTGTAACAAATATGAGTGGTTTTTTATATCTTGTAGATCTTTGATAATTGGTAATTGGGTTTTATAACGTAACATGTATTATAGATAAGTATAATTTTTTAATCACTTTAACTTAACTCAACTAAAAAAGAGAGAATTGAATTAAGTCATGAACCAACAAAACTTACCGGCAGTCTTGATTCAAAGATTTGTGGGAAACTATTCCAACCCAATCTATATAAACACGTAGTTGATTCTTTTATGAGTAAGCCTAAGTGAACAAAGCTAAACAATCGAACGGGAAGAATCATCATATAACATGAGTTTCCCATTAATAAGAATAAAAAAAAACAATGTCTGTTCTACTCTCGTTCTTGTTATACTTAAATATATATTTAAACATATTTAAAATTTGTGGAAAGAATCTAATCTATCACCCAAAAGAAAACAAAGAAAACCCCATGATGCTAGATTTGGGTTTCTTTTTGTTTGTAAATTTCACTAAAGAGGGTAAAAATGTGGTAAAATTATGTATATTTTTTTTCTTCTCTTTTTTTCCATTTTGTGTCATATCATAACTTTTTTATTTTGTGGTCTTAATTTAAAGAGATGATCAGACAACCCCCACCCAAAAACAAAAAATAAATAAATAGAAACTCCATATAGAATAACATATTACATTCGGGTCACATTCACTACTAACCCTAAATATATATTAGTTTATATAAATCAGAAAGGTCAATCTACAGCGAACCAAATAAGGAATCATAGTGGTGTTTGAGAATTGGGTTAGGTTGGGTTGAGTTGAATTTAGGGTATTTTGAGTGTGAGATCCCTCGTCAGGTTGGGAATGGGAACAAATAATTTCTTATAAGGGTGTGAAAATCTCTCCTTAATAGATATGTTTTAAAATCGTGAAGCTGACGGTGATATGTAATGGGTCAAAACGGCCAATATCTGCTAATAGGTGGATGGCATGATTGTACTCTGTATGTTGTCTTGCATGTAATGAACTTCTCCTCTATTCCAAACTGTACCTTACTAAATTACGAACTCAAACTAAACTAACGCGTATAAATTTGGTTGAAATGGTTCAATTTCATGACTCCTCTTCTTTCTTAATGTTGGTATCAGATGAGAGAGAAAACGATGAATAGAGAAGCATGAAGGCACGAGTGAGAGCTTTTGATATCGACATCGAGCTGGGTAAGAGAGGAAACTAGAGAACGGGTGATTAGTGAGAGGTAGAGTGTGACATGAGGAAGAGAATGGTAAACCTAATTTAAAGATGAGTAAAGCTTAATCAACCTATAATTTATGGCTATAGATTTGAGAGTCGAACCAACCTATACTAGGTAGATTCAATTGAGTTACTCGATTTTTTCAAGCCGTCAATCTTTCTAATACCCTTACTACCCCTGAATGGTTTTCTTCGATGGAGGAAAGAAAGCATAAAAACCCTAGCTTGAAAGGGTAAGTTTTGAACTTTGATTTAGAGGGTTAAAATAGGAAGAACAATAATGTCAAATCCAAAAGGGTTAATATTGAAAAGAAAAAACATAGACAAGTATAAAGCTAAAGCCAAAGTCTGTTGCACCATGCTCCAACGTGTAAAGACATTATCGTTTTATGAACATTTTTTTTTTGTTTTTTTGTTTGTTTTTTAAGAAATATAATACTTTTTCATTATTTTTTTTTTCGAATCAATTAAACATCGTCTCACGTCGATTAAAAATGAAAAAAATGAGATAGAGAAGAATATTTTTTTCATTTTCTTTTTTTGAATCAATCAAACATAGTCTCACGTTTATTAAAAACGAAAAAGATAAGATTATTCTGTGTAGACTTGACTAAAAAAGTTAGCGGATAACTTCTCGAACAGTTTGATTTCAAGACACTTGGTGAATGCACGGTTGTAGCTTTAGCCATATATAAAGCATTGGGTTGAACTCTTCTTTGGTGTCAAGTTATTAATAGCTATGAATAGTCATCAACTCCTAAAAAAGACTAGAAGAATGGGACCTATTATGAGACATACAATGCATTACAGACCACCCCTAGTCCATTGAGTGCTCTACCTTGGGCCATCGACATCATACACTCTACTGAAATAGATTTCACGAAAAACCAGCTATATCCGATCTTGGTTCTCCCTGTATTTTACCACATACGTGGGTTCAGTCCTCAAAGACCTGTTAAGGCTCTCTTCAACCTAGGTCAAATAGGAAGAACTCGAAGATATATATCGGGTGAAGATTTAAACCACCAATCTCAAAAGATCGATCAGTTTGAGGGTTTTGCAAAATCACCGAATGGTTATATGGAATTCTATGAACGTTGTTATCTTGAGATTCGGTTATAGTAAGCCATCTGGAAGGGCGGTGGTTATCCATTAGTGTGAACCTTCACTTTCTTTGAAAACCCTAATAAAGAAGGGCTATTAAATTAGTTGTATGGTTGAATGAAATACATTAAAATTAATGGTATTTTGGAATCCAACACTAATAAATGCTTCACCAAAATTCTTTGTATTCTGTTTTGAGAATAAAGGAATCAATTTGGAATAGAATATTCCACCCCTCAATTCACCTAATTTGAAAATAGAATCTCATTCTATTTCCCTATATTTATGCTTATTTTATTTTTTAATATAAAAATCAAAGTGGAATAAATAAATAAATAAAATAAATAAGACGATTGCATAATATGTCTTTTGAAACAATTTGGTGAGTAATTTATTATTATTATTATTGTTGTTGTTGTTGGCTTTAATTAATATAATATAGAATTAAATTATTGCATTTAAATCTTTTGTTGACTATTATTGTGAATCAACTTTTTTATTCAACTACATGTCGTTATGAGCTTTTAAATTATTTATATTAATAAAAAAAATTAAAGCATTTAATTAAAGTTATTCGAAAATTAAATAATTAAATAAAAAGAGAGGGAGAAAAAGATGGATGGGGTTTGTATGAAATTATGGCAAACTGAAGATGATGAAATTCGATGTGGGAACTGATCATATTCTCCACATTTCTTCTAGTGACAACTTCCATCACGTGGGCCCAATTTTTTTTATTTTCATCTCACCAAAATATCTTCCACACACACACACACACACACTATATATATATATATATATATATATATATATATATATATATATATATATTTTTTTTAACCACTTTCTCATAATTTATTTGTACAAAATATATATATATATTGGAAAATATGTCTATTTGATTTTTAATTTTTTTTAAAAATAATAATTAAACTTTTAATTTTTTGTCGGATGAATTTTTTTAATTCTTATTGTTGTGTCTGACGAGCCTTTAATTTAGACTTTCTTTTTTATATATTTATTAGATATAATATTGAAAAGTTACGGTATTATTTAGATATAAAATTTAGTTTCATTTATAATTTTACATATAATATATTATATGGTTATTTGACACCAACTTCAAATTTTGTGAATTTATTATATACTTTTAAAATTTAAAAATTTATTATACAACAAATTGGACGTTAAAGGTCTCATTAGGAACTTTTTAAGTAAACAAACGCACTAATAATATATTAAAAAAATAAACAAAAAATCATAGAAACTACCTCAATATTCTATTTTTTAAATGTTTTTTTTTTTAAAAAATAAGTGCTCATTCTTCACCCATCAAATCTTCGAATTATGATAAAGATAATTAATCCATAAACTCCAAATCCGAACTGAATCTATTTGGGTTCAGAAAACTAACTCGAAACACTAATTCAATCCAATCTAATCGTTATAGTTTGGGTTGGGTCATTTCAGATTGTCCAATTGAATATATGCTCGTAATTAAGAGTACTATTGATAAGGTGATGAGCTACCAAAAATGGGTAGTTAGTATGGTAAAAAGAAAATTGAATGTCTCAACTTTTTAATTGGTTTTATTTTATTTATTTATTTATTTATTTTTTTTGGTTATAAAGTTAGTGAACTTCATTTTCTCATATAGGTTTGTCCTTGCCTCTTTTTGCAACTTTATTTAACCAAAGACAAAATTAAACAATGTAATCATCAATGACGCTTTCTTTTTCCTAAATTAATTGATTATTTATAATGATTGCAATCAGACACACACTTTATATATTTTAGCATTTTTTTTTATTTTTTTAATTTACATCTCTCTTTTTTCTTTTAATTTAACGGGTATAAATAAAATTTTGAACCTCAAATTTACCTCTTCCTTCCCATAATTTAAGGAGTCTTTTTAACATGTTTTATCTTCACTAGCGTTTATTCCTATAAAATTTATAGGAGGTCGTCAAATATAAACTTACTTTCAATTCTTTTAAGTTTTTCCTAGTTAATTTAGATACCCTCTAAATTGACCTTTTGTCGAAGACAAAAATGAGTCATAGTAATAAATAATAAAAAG